GTCCGGGGGACTTCTGTGAAGGCTGATGCAGAGCTCGGGGAAGGCGTCGCCTTCACGTGCCTCGTCCCCAGCTGACCCCAGCCGTCCGGCCGTGTCTATCCTCCCACATGTCCCCCTCACGCTGCTCCCCGGCCTCAGCCTCTGTCGCCCCCACCTCGCCTGGTTCACTAACGATCTCGCCTGGCCAGGTGCTCAGACACCTGTAAGGGGCTGCTGGAGGGGGCGACCGTCCCCCGCCACGGCCGCGTGGGGAGATGCCGCGGACACTGAGGGCTCCGAGTGAGCCAGAGACCGTCCCCCGCCCAGCCCCCCGACCCTCACGGGACTCACCCTGAGATTCCGCACTTGAAGTTCCGGTTGGTGCCGAGTCGTTTGGCTGACGTGATCGCCAGGAAGCACAGACTCTGGGTCTTCCTAAGAAGACCCCTCCTTTCTGTGCCTAGAAGACAAACAGACAGACCCTCCCTATCACGACAGTTCTGCCTCTCCCGGGGGGCTGCACCCACTTAGCGCAAATCCTGCCGAAGGTCAGTGTTCCTTTTCTCTCGAAGAGACCTGGCACGTGTCCTTCCACGCTCGGTCAGCGTCCCCACAACAGTGAGACCCGGGGAAGTAGCCACAGCACTTCCTCGGGAGCTGCTGGGTCCCTGTGAGTTTGGGCAGCTTAGGGTAGTGGGGATGTGAGTGGCCCGAGATGGGACAGCAGTCACGCCCGTCACCCGAATGAGCTAAGGACCGACCGAGGCCCGAGGCCGGAAACCAGGGACAGAGCCCGGGTTTGAAACGGGAAGGAAGAGGGGGCGTCTGCAGGCGTTAAGAGAAGCAGCCACAGAGCCCAAATAAAGACGCCACGGCGCCATTGACGAACTCGAGGTCCAGGGGCTGGGACTCGCGGGGCCAGTGTGTGGTCCCGGCAGTGTGGGCCCCCAAGCGCACAGACCCGGACTTGAACCCTGGCTTCCAGATGGGATGCCTGTGACCGTGGGCCGGTCCACGGCCGTCTCCGGGTCTCCTCGCGAGTAAATACGAGAAGACACGATGTCGAAGGGTTGAGTGGGGCGGAGACACGTGGTCCGCAGCTGCTGCTGTTAGTGACTTAGCGAAGCAAATGAAGAGTGAGGCCCCTACACAGCCGGGCGGGACGGTGACGGTGACGGGGACGGGGATGGTGACAGGGACGGGGACGGGGATGGTGACAGGGACGGTGACGGGGACGGTGACGGGGACGGTGATGGGGACGGTGACACGGGATGGGGACGGGGACGGTGACGGGGATGGTGACGTGGGACGGTGACGGGGACGGTGACGGGGACGGGGACGGGGACGGGCGAAAGGGCAAGGGTGAGCGTGAGGCGAACGGGGACAAAGCCAACGCCCAGGAAGGGGGCTTTGGGGCCTGATGCGAACGTCCCGTCCCCGTGGGAGGCGAGGAGTGGACGACACCGGCCTCAGTGGGGAACAGACAGGGCGCAGACCTCATCCGCTCAGGCCACCGACGTCACACCCTTCCTGTCTGCCTTTTCGCATGTGTGACGGTCCTTTTAAAAAGTGTTTATTTTATATTGTTTATTTCGCTGGTTTAGATGCGTAGCTTGTTTTTCTAGCTTGATTCCCACTGGAAACCGACAGTCTTCTGCTGGTGCAGCTGAGCAGAAGTGGGGTTTCTGCCCCTCTGTCCCCCGGAGGCGCTGGTGTCCCCAGGCCCCTGAGCCCCGCCCCACGGGGCCGAGCGCAGCAGAGGCATGATGCCGCTGGGCTGCATCCCAGTGGCTGCCCCTGCGGTCCCTCCTGCCTCCCCGGGACTCCGGGCAGCCCACGGGGAGGGCTCGCGCCCAGCTTGGACACGGTCTGTGCCCCTGCCGCCGCGTTGGCTGTTAAGGGCAGTCTCCCAGGCGACGGGCACCTAACGCTGCCGGTCCCCTGCAGGAGGTGTACGTGGGCAGGGAGACCCTCTGCACCATCGACGGCCTGCATTTCAACAGCACGTACAACGCCAGGGTCAAGGCGCTCAACGGCTCGGGCGTCGGGCCCTACAGCAAGACCGTGGTCCTGCAGACCTCCGATGGTGAGCTCTGGGGGCTCTAGGGTCCCCCGCGGCAGAGACGGGTTCCAGCAGGACAGGTGCTTTCCACAGCATGGACCTGCCTCTTCCCAGGGTCAGGGCCCCACCCCTGCTTCAGGCAGGAGGGGGCAGTGGAGGAAGCACACCCCACCCTCTGCCTCCACACTCCCCTCCCCCCGCTGCTGGACCTGGGGCAGGACACTCGTGAGACGAAGCTCCCGCCTCGAGGGCCTGGGGGTGGCAGAGAACGGGAGGCCACCCGGCCACAGGGAGGCGCACGCTGGCCCAGCGTTTGAGCCCTCCTCGCGGAGGGGACCTGTCCCCATGCCCAGGGCAGGAGCTCTGCTCCGAGGGCCCCCACGCCTGGCTGCATCCCCCCAGTTTCCTGTTGGACTGTGATCGACTGAGCGCTTAGCGGGAGCCATGACATCACCAAAGAACAGGTTCCAGAGAGTCTGCAGGCACCCCGCCTGGGGGCAGGGTTCCAGGGTGCCGCTGGCCTGAGCTTCCTGTCACCATTTGTCTGATTGCCCTGAGGGACACAGAACCTGCCCGGAGGCCTCCCGGGACGGGCGGGAGGGGACAGAAGCAGAGGCGGCTGTCCAGGCTGCGGCCACGATGCCTTCCGGAATGCTGTGCCCTGCAGTCATGCCATAAACCCAGAGGTCCACTCGCGTCCTGCCCCAGGGGCCCGGCCCGGGGACCAGTGGTCCTCGTCCTGTGCGTGGTGGCTTCACTTCTGATGACGAAGTGTAAGGGGGGCAGATGGGGGAGCCCCACAGTGAGCCGTGAGCAGGGCGACGGAGCTTCGTGACTGGTTACCCCCTCCTCACTGTGCGTCCCAAATCTGCCACCGCCGCACGGGGCGTGAGCCCCACCTTCTTAGCTCCTAGTGTGGGGAGCCGGCACCCTCACAGGTGTCCAGACGTGGGCTCGGGGGCCTGGGTGTCTGCGCCCTGGCAGGTTGTGTCACTGGCCCCCGACCGCGGGCGACACAGTGAGGGCGTGTGTACGTGTGCGCGTGCATGTGAGCACGTGGGTATGCGTGCGTGTGCACATGTGTGCGTGCGCCTGAGTGTGCGTATGTGTGCGCGTGCGTGTGTGCGTGTGTGTGCGTGTGCGCGTTTGTGCGCGTGAGCGCGTGCATAGGCATGTGCGAGTGCATGTGTGTGCGTGCACACGTGCGTGTTTGCGTGTGTGCATGTGTGTGTGCATGTGCGTGTGTGTGCGCATGTGCATGTGCGTGTGCGTGTGCTCGTGTGACTCTTTGGGAGGACGTGTGACGCCGGCTGCCAACGTCCTCGCAGACGGGAGTAGCCGGGGTCTGAGCCCAGGTGAGACCGTCAGCAAATCCCATCCCTGACCCACCCCTCTTGCCTCCTTCCCGTCCAGTGGCCTGGTTCACCTTTGACCCCAACTCCGGGCACCGGGACATCATCCTGTCCAATGACAACCAGACGGCCACCTGCAGCAGCTACGACGACCGCGTGGTGCTGGGCACGGCCGCCTTCTCCAAGGGCGTGCACTACTGGGAGCTGCACGTCGACCGCTACGACAGCCACCCGGACCCCGCCTTCGGGGTGGCCCGGGCCAGCGTGGCCAAGGACATGATGCTGGGCAAGGACGACAAGGCCTGGGCCATGTACGTGGACAACAACCGCAGCTGGTTCATGCACTGCAACTCCCACACCAACAGGTGCGCCCGCCGCTTCCCTCGGGCGTGGGGCTCGGGGCCGGATCCCGTGGGACTGCCGCCCTGGCCGCCGGTGCCCAGTGCAGGCCCCGGGCTGGCGGGAGGTGGGCCCTGGAAGAGGTGGCGGTTCGCTGCAGCCCCCGCGAGAGAGCGCGCACGGCAGGGACCGGAGCAGCGGCCACTGCCGGGTCCCTGGGGCCTCAGGCGCGGCTCGCCCCGGGCTCTGCCCCGCCTCCCGCACACACTGTCGGCCGCGCTGTGGTCACTGCAGAGCCGGTGGCCTCGTGGCTGCGACCAGATGCCTGCAGAGGGAGCAGGTGCCACTGCCTTGCCGGTCGCTCGCCTGGAGCCACCGCTCCCGCTGCCTCACCTCGCGGGGGCTTTGCGCCCGGCAGTGCCCCCGGCAGGGCAGGCCTGGTGGGGCAGGCAGTGTCGGGGTGCTCACGGCCGATGACTCTGTGAGCGCACTCTCTGTCTGGGCCCTGCAGGCTCACCCCAGCTGCCTGCTCAGACCCAGGGGCCGAGTCCAGGCCCACTGCCCCGTGTCCACTTGAGCAAACCGGATGCACCGTCTGCTGCGGGCGGTGACGGCAGGGGGTGTTCACAGGGCGTTCGCTCGCGGGGGCCGCTGGAGGAAGCTCCTGATTTACGTGTCCTGCCGGCGTCTCTCCCTGGGCCCGGAAGGCTGAGCCGCAGCCCTGGTCTCAGGCCAACCAGCGGTGCTACGGGGCCTTGCGTGGGTCCTGAGCAGCTGTCTGTGTGGCGGGAGGGGGCAGGGGCTGTGCTGGGGACACAAGGCCTGGCGGGCAGCACTGACCCCGGCTGGGAATGTCATTCCTGAGCCTCGGACTGGTCACTACCGCCACCCGGTGGTCGGTATGGGCATAGCCAGGCCCCGGCAGAGTGCCCCTCACTTAGAGACCCTCCCCTCCAGTGGAGGTGACTTCCAGCCCCCCCGAAAGGCAGCACCCCGAAGAGCTTCACCATCAACCTTCTCACCGCGGGCTGGTGACTCAGGTGGGACACTTGATCCAGACTCGGCACCCGTCCCCTGCCACATGCTGCCTTTCCAGAGTCCCTGAGACATATCTGGGGAGACAGCCGAAGCAGGCAGGCTTTTCAAAATCTCCCAGCGGCAGGGGTGGCCGCCTCTTCCACGATGTCAGCGTCCGTCACTGGGCTGAAACTGAACAGGGCACCGAGTTAGTGGCTTCCTGACGGGTGAAGGGACCTCTCCCACCCGAGCTCACCCGACCCCAGCTCTCCTCAGATGCTGCTAGGGAAGAAGGGGCCTCACCTGTGTGGCCCCTGAATAGATGCGTGCACTTCGAGAGAAGGCTCATGAGCTAGAAGAACGGCCCTGTCTTAGTGAGGGTGTCCCAGCATCCTCTAAGTCAGCGGTCCCCAACCTTTGTGGCATCAGGGACCAGGGCTCCTGTGAGCATCCAAGGCCTGAGGATCTGAGGTGGGGCTGAGGCGGCAATGCCGGCGCTGGGGAGCGGCTGCAGATGCAGATGAGGCTTCGCTCGCTCGCCCACCGCTCACCTCCTGCTGTGCAGCCCGGTTCCTAACAGGCCGCAGATGGGTGCCGGTCTGCGGCCCGGGGGTTGTGGACCCAGCTCCACGTGACTCTGTGAGCCATCACTGCCTCCCAGGCGAGGGGTGCTGATGGGGCCTCTCTCCGCAGGACGGAAGGTGGCGTGTGCAAGGGGGCCACCGTCGGCCTGCTGCTGGACCTGAATGAGCACACGCTGACTTTCTTCATCAACGGGCAGCAGCAGGGCCCCACGGCCTTCAGCCACGTGGACGGGGTCTTCATGCCGGCCCTCAGCCTCAACCGCAACGTGCAGGTACCGTCACCCTCCAGCTGGAGCCACCCGCCCCGCCCCGCCCCGTGACGCCCTCGGGGGCTTCCGGAGGGTCCCCGGGCAAAGTGGGCGGTAGCGAGCTGACCACAGAACCCGCCCAGGTGGAGAGCGTCGCCACCTAGGGCATTCCCCGGAGACCGTCCTCTGGCTTGATAAAGTCCTCCCTGTCCACTTGAAGGAAGCGGAGCTCGAAGGTGGCCGCTTGTGGACGAGCAGTGGAGGGCGGGATGGGGAGGGGGAACGATCAGCGGCCCCCCTTCTGGGAAAGCCTCGGGTGGGGCTCAGCATTCAGGAGGACCGTCCTGCCTGCCCGGCTTGGCCCGAGGGCTGGGTGCATGTTGGGGCCTTCGGGTGGGGTGCTGAGCGAAAAAAAGCTTTCTCAGAGCGGGGAGTAGAGAGCCGCTGGGGAGACAGCAGCCCTGGGGTGCCGTGGGGCCCCTCCTGTTCCCAGCGCCCCTTGCTCTCTGGCCCCATGTGAAGCGGGCAGGAAATGTGTCCTTTTGTAGCCCAAGGTGGCCCGGTCCTAGGGCACAGCAGGCGGCTCAGGAGTTCCCAAACTCAGAGAGTAAACGGGAGCGGAGCCGGTGAGGGAGATGTGGGAACATGGGGGCCCCTCCGCCGGGGCAGGGCCCTGAATACTGAGGGGCCACGTCCATCAGTCGCTGGCTGGTCTGCATCTCCACTCGCCGGCAAGGGGGCTCCGAGGCAGCCTGACGCAGGCTGCCGTGCCTCAGGGCCGTGGGACACAGCGAGGCTCACACGCGGCCCAAGGACCCGCACGCCTGCTGCATGGGGGTCAGCCTGGCTGGCTCCTGGCCGCGGGTGGGGGGACCCAGGCAGTGCGAGGGGCGCAGAGCAGCCCCTGGGGACAACCTGAGGGGCATCGTAAACAGCAGACCCCACAATCCTGAGAGGCGGCTGCCTGTGGCCACCCCGAGGGAGCAGTGTCCCGCGTGGCCGCCGTGCGGTAAGGGCTCAGGTGGCCTCACCACTCGCTCACCCCGTCTTCTCCTGCAGGTCACTCTGCACACAGGCCTGGAAGTGCCCCCCAGCCTGGGGCGGCCAAAGCTGCCGGCCAACTAGCCTCCCCGCTCCGGCTCTGCTCAAGGTCTGGAGGGGCCTGCCACCCCGACGTTCGGTGACCACAAGGGCAGGACGACCACGTCACGGCCCCACAGAGCCACCATCTCAGAGACACACTGTCCTTGGGGCACGAGAGTGGGTCTGCAGGCCGTGCCGTGGAGGCCGCTGGCAGCGGTGGACACAGGGCGTGCTCCCCCCGGTCCCACCTGGACGGTCCAAACGCTCGCGAAGGACCGTGCTCGGGGCCAGAGGCTTCCAGGGCTTATGCATTTCTTTCCCGCCACCTGTTTCTGACGCTTGTCTTCGTGGGGTCGGGGTGGGCAGGAGGAGGCCCGACTCTGGGACTGCCCTGGAAGCAGGCGGCAGGACACGCTCGGAAGCCCGAGTCCCAGGCGTCTGTGCTCCGCTGGCGGCCCTCCCGTGGGGTCCCAGGGTCGCAGGCTCCCCCTTCGTCGGGGATGTTCCTCAGCTTGTCCGTCCTGAGTCCTCGCATAGCCCGCCACGCACGCGTCCAACCCAGGCTCCGCAGGAAGGGATGCTCATCATTTTCTGTGGGCCCTGCCTCTCCCTGACCTGGTCAGAACCATCTTAAAGGGTTTCCTGGGGTCCTTCACTCAGCAACCAACCCCCTCACCCACGCACGCACACACACACACACATACACACACACACACGAGAGTCCACGAAATTCACTCCGCTCTGAGCTGTTAAACACATAAGAAAACACTGGAATTTGAATTCAAATGCCCGTGTGACGAGTCTCCAGCTGGCGGTGGCTTTTCTCTGGAGCTGGCTCCCCAAAGCTCACCTGTGCAGCCGTCGGAGCCACTCGCCTGAGCTGTGCGGTGCTCGGACTCAGCACCTGGACGGACGGGAGGCCCTGGGCATCTGCTGGACACGGCCCGCCTCCACTTTGGGACCATCTCCCTGTCACCGTGGGAGCACGTGGCCGCGATGGCAGGCGGCGGACGGCGACGCCTGTGTTCCAGCCCCCCGCACGGGCCTGGGGTGGGCCCTCCACTCCTCGCTGGGGACGCCAACCACCCTCGAGACCCGCGTCGAGTCGCGTCCATCTCTGAGGAAGACAGTGCGTCCCACGGTCTGTCACTGGGCACCTTTCTCCTCCACCGTCTTCCTTGTCACCTGCCACCTCCATCTCCGTCTGGTCGTAAACCTTTCGCTCTCCTTTTTACAAGAATCTATTTTATCAGGCGTTTTACTTTCGAAGTTCAGGAGTAACTTGTCTATTTGCTGGATTTTTATACAACTTAGCCCGTGAACCGGCACCAACTGTGTTTACTTGGTTCTAGCTGCTTCTTCAGACGCTGCACTTGCTCCTTGAGTGACCGGCCCTGCAGACCTGCCCTCGACTCAGCAGATCCGACAATCCTACCTCGAAGCCCGCTCCTGGGCCGCGAGGCTGCCGCGTCCGGCCGCGTCCACGGTGTGGCCGGCCAGGCCGGTCGCCAGTGGCTTCAGGAGCTGTCTGGTGCTGCATTTAAGCCTTGCCACCAAAGTCCTGGCACCCAGGCCGCCCTGGGCCGTCGGCATCCTCGTCCATGCTTCTGCTTCCACGTCCTAGTCTCCCTGCCGGCCCAGCTCTGGGTGGACTCAGCTTGGAAGGTGGAGCAGCGTCCTGAGGGCGGCCAGGGCCTCCTGGGGCTGAGGAAGCCATGCTGGCAGGTCCAGGTGCATCGGCTTTGGGAGATGAGTCTTGTCTTTTGGAAAAGACGAGGTCGGCACGTAGGCGGGAGGACAGCCATTGAGGCCGCCCGGCGGAAGCGGCTTTGTGCAGCGGAAGCCGGATGAAAGGTCGGGGAGCTCCCCAAACCCTCCAAGCCGGGGTCATCGGGCAGCCCTGGCTTGGCAACTTTGGGCAGGCGTTGCTCAAGCTCCGCCTGGACTGGTGGCACCCTCGGGAGAGCCAGCGCCTAGGTCAGGATGGGGGGTACCCATAATGTCGGTGGCCTCGTCAGAGAGAAAATGACCTGAAGTTCAGAGAAGCCACCAAAACTGCCTGCCCCCGGCCGTCAGCCGTCCCGCGAGGCCCCGCAGGTGACGGGGCGGGCATGACGCCTCGTCTGAGGCCTCCGGGACCCCAGAAGGACCCGGATGGTACCAGGGACTGTGTCGGGCTGTCCCGCCGGCCCTTCCTGTCTTCGGCACAAACACTTTTCAGGGACAAGAACGGACCCCAGGAGGCGGGTCCCTGCCACTCGGTCGTGTTTCTGAGGGACCAGCAACACGGCACTAACGCGTCAGCTCCTCGCCGCCGCGGGGCGCCCTCCCAGGAGCCCTGGGAACCGGAGGAGAAGCCACGGGCCGTGGGCATCTCGTCTGCCATCGAGTTCCTTGTTCCTGCACGGCGTGGTGACATTCTGTACATAAAAATCACACGCGATGACGCTTCCGTCGGGCTGGCCGAGGGAAGACGGAGCTGGTCTGCGAGAAGGGGGTTCGGAGGCCGCCCCGGAAATGACACGGCTCTGCAGTTCCGTCCTCACAGGGGCCCTTCCTCTTAGAACTCATCTCCCTTGAGTCTCCCGTGGCCCCGAATTCGGGGTGAGCCAAGACTCCGCACACCCCGCTTCTCGCCTTTCTGCCCAGGCCGGATCCTCGGACCGGGGATGCTGCCCGCGTCTCCGTGACGTCGGGGTGGGCCGTTCTCGCGGGTCAGGCCCTTACTGTCCCGCACGCAGCGAGACGTTCCGCAGTGCCCTGGCCTTCACCCGCTAGACGCCGGAAGTGCCCCCTTAGCTGTGACAGCTGAGTGTCCCCCCGGGACACGCGGCCGCCGAGGAGCAGGCCGTGCTCGTGGTTCGTCGCGTGTGGCTATGCAGCGGCAGCGGCACGTGGGCCGTCCGCTCCGGGCTGCACGGGGACCTTCGTCCCAGGGCCCAGCCCGGGCTGTGCCATCGGTCGGCAGTGTCGTGCCAGCGGGCAGGTAGGGACGTGGGCCCCGGGACAGAAGCCAGCCCGCCAGGCCTCACTTCGCACTCACCGCAGGTGCTGCAGCCGCCCCCACCCCCGGCCCCACCTAGAGACAAAACACCTTCGTTTTCCTCCCGAGGGGCTGGGCCTTTAGCTGGTGGGACACCTGACCGGACGTCACTGGAGGGTCATCTGTCCGCGCTGGCCCCGGACAGCTCAGGACTCTGTGAGGAAACCAAGCCTGTGGCTGTTCCCGCTGACCCCATTCCTCCTGTCACTGGAAGAATGTCACCGGACAGGGACACGGAGGAGCAGGTTTGGGGCCGGAGGGCGGGGTCAGACGCCCAGGTCGGCCCCCGGGGACTCGTCCGTTCGCCTGGCTCTGATGTCGGTTCAGGCACGGTCGGGCGAATCGCTACATCATCCTGTGCCTCCACATCCCGCCTGGAGACGGGACCAGCCACACCGACCCGCCTCCGCCCGCTCACCGTGGGGACTGTAGAATGACGCTGCTCAAGGAAGAGACGTGTGCTCACTCTCATCTACCGCGTCCGGGCTAAGGGTTCACACGCAACGCATCGCACCCACGCGGTGACTTTCCAGGGTGTTCCCTGACCAGTGTCTTCCATCTACGCTTCTCATGACTGTGTTTACTACGCAGCTGCAAAACTCACATTTCAGACGGGCCTCCCATGACCCCTGAAGCCAGGCCCGGTCCCCACCCCCACGAGGCCTGTTTCAGTGGGTCGTGCACAGAACGCTGCCAGCACTGCCAGCGGGCCCGGTATCGGCGCCATCGTTAGCCCAAAGGCGTGTGTGCGCAGGAACCCCTCCCGCACGCAGAGATGGGCCCCGTTCCGACTCCCTGGTGACCTTAAGGCCTCGCACCTAAGGGGTCCCCTCCCAGTGCGTCTCCTCTGTTTCTAAAGATCTCGGCAGAGGGAGTGGCTTGGCCAGCTGCTGTAGGGGGGGAGAGGCGCCACTGAACCACAGGCTGGGGGCGGCGGAGCCACAGGGCGAGGGGCCGCCCGTGGACATGGGTGCGGCCGGGGCTGGGTGCTGAGTGGCGGGGAGGCTCGCCCCGGGGTGCCGCTGTTCCCGGGGCCGCTGCTCATGCGGGCACCAGTCCTGGGCATGCGGGGTGGGCCCCGCTCACCAGGCCACACGCTCAGGAAGGCTGAGCCCCTACATCAGCTCCGGGGCTGGAATGGTGACGGCTGTGGAAGCCGGACCATGGCGGTGTGTCCCCAGGGAGACTCCCGCGGGGCCCTCTCGCCTGCCGCTCCCGGGGCCTGGACGCGCCAGCCCGGGATTCTGCGGCACCAGAGCAGGCGCAGAGGGCGCGGGCAGCGGGCGGGACGTGCATGACGTAGGACGAAACTTGTACTCGGCATGAGGTGTCTGTGTCGCGGTGGCAAAGGGATCTAGAAAGTAACGAAGAGCTTTGTGTCCTTGTTTTGGCGTAGAGAGAACGTCCGTTTCCCCCTTTCTTTGGCCATTCCCTACCGCGCCCCACCCCCGTCGCAGCCACCCCGCCACTCACTAGCCGTAGGGACTGGGCGGCAGCTCTCGGCCCTCTGCGGGCCCACGGTCCACCGGAAACACAGCGGGTGGGGGAGAGAGGCGAGTTTTTTCTAGTTTTTGTACCGTATCCGCAGCCTTTGTATTTTTTTGGATTGCGAACACTGTTTTCCGGTCTTCGGGGCTTGGTTGAACTTTGTGTATTGCCTTTTGGACAACCTGAGTTTTGCCACAGTCTTAAGCGGATTTGAAATAAATTCTTTCGACACTGCCGACAACTGAGAGACAAGGCGCCGTCTGTAGTCACTGCTCAGAGGCCAGGTCCGCCCTCCCCAGACCAGCCCCGACGGCCGGGGCTGTGAGAGGGGGCGGCCGCCCGCCCTCCCTCCCAGGGGGCCTGCGCCTCATGAGGCCGGGTCAACGTGCTCGTGTGGCACGTGCCAGGAAACCCCGGGGTGGGGGGATCACCCGTGACTAGATGATAAAGTACCGTCCTGGGGAGATTCGGGCTCAGGCCCTAACTGACCCGGGACCCTAACCAGCCCCCCGGCATAGCCAGAGCTGGCAGCCGAGACCTGGCCTCCCTGGGCCCTGACCATGGAGCGGGTGGGGCGGCTCCAGGGTCAGACGCCGGGGCAGCGGGTACCGGGCGCTCCTGGGCTCCACGTGGAGCAGGAAGCAGAACTGGGCCAGGGGAGACGTCAGGCCCTGAAGCGGACGGAGCTGTCGCTAGCAGGGATGCGAGGCCCTCACCTCGTCCATGCGTCTTCCGTGGGCCACCCCGGGAAGGGGCGGGGACGTCTTGAGCACCGAGGTGGAAGTCCCTGTTCCTGAAAGGGGCTCTGGGGCACAGTCCGCCCGTGGCTGGCCGGGGGACAGCTGTCAGGATCTCTCCCAGGGGGCTGGCACCGAGCTGGCACCGCCTCCCCCATCCCGTCTGCCCCCGTGCCCTCCCCGAGCGCCTCTGCTGGTTGTGATGCAGACCTCAGGGCCCTCCTGAGCCCAGGGCGGCTGCTCTTGTTTGTCCGCCATCAGTGCTGGACGAAGGCGCGTCAGGTGCCCGAGTGCCACCTGGCAGGGGTCCTCCCTGCCTCACCACATGACGGCCCTGCCTCCTCCGTGCTCGGGGCCGATCACTCGTGACGTGTGGCTCCTCGTGCCCAGTCCCTTGGCTCAGCAGGACGCATGCTGTGTTGCCCGCAGGGCCGAACTGTGGGGACAAGCGTCACCAGCTCCCTCAGAGGGCCACTGCGGGTGGCAGCAGTGGCGTGGTGTGGGGGCAGGCGCGGCCCACGCGGGTGTCCAGGTGAGGGGACAGCGGTGTGCAGGCAGCGAGGAAGCGCTCGCCACCACTGGAAGCTGCCTCCGCCCCGTGGCTGCAGCCAGAACCGCGTCGTGACGCCGCCCTCTGGCGACTGCATCGCTGCGGCGCTGACCTTGCAGGGGGTGCGGTCGATGGGGGTGCAGGAGCACGGTCGTGCGCCCAACCTCCAGCCCCTCGTGTGCCGTGGCCCCCTCGTGGCCCCTGGACCTGAGCGCCCAGGGCCCCAGGACTCACAGGCCCCGTCCGCGCTCACTCAGCGAATCAAAGGCGGGACAGAGACCCGGGGCGTGACTCACACCCGGGCCTGCTCTTCCAGACCCACCAGCCTGCGGCGTCGGCGCCCGGCAGGCAGGCGAGGCGGGCAAGGCGGGCGAGGCAGCCTCCTCTTAGCCCCCCCAGCCTGCGGCGTCGGCGCCCGGCAGGCAGGCGAGGCGGGCAAGGCGGGCGAGGCAGGCGAGGTGGGCGAGGCCTTGGCACGCCAGTGGCGGCGGTCACCCGGCTCCCGGGGATTCTCCTGTGTG